AAGTATGGCGGGGTGGAGGAGGGCATCACGGGAAGGTAAATCACACAGATACGCAGTTTTTCATCACCAGCATACAGTTCTTCGCATTAATGATTCAACATCCCGTTCAGAAATTATTCGACCTAGATGTGCAGCGTGTCACCGGGTAGCTGAAAAGCTTTCTGACCGGGGGCCCAATCACATCAACCACAAAAGACATGTAATGGGGCACCTGCTTCGCCTAGTTATTGGAATGAAATTGATCATACGAAAAAATGACTGTCCGCACTCAGTTACGTTCGCTAACTATTGCATCATCCTACCCGATAATCGATCTGCGTCGGAATAGAGTAAAGATATGCGAGATTGAATGATCGCTTCGTTCAACAGATGTGCGCGTACATGAATCGTAGACTGACTGAAAAGTTGTCATAAATCATACGCAGCGGTGTAAGAGTAGGCTCTGACTGCAAGCTGCTATTGTACAATGAGAGTATTCGTTTCCAAAACAATGTGCAGAGAGCGTGCATATAGGGAGGGAGGGGGCGGCACGTGGACAAAAGTCGCGGACAGAGGGAACATCCCCGTAGAAGAACAATGATTACCGTCTTGGGCTGATACAACCTCACCAGTAGTCATAAATAACTAATTCGACCGGCTTTCCGACGAATTATACCCAGACATCGGAAAGGGAATGAACGTTTCGTGTTGTTGTTCTTCTTCTTCTCATGAACGTGACAAAATTAAGCAAGAAACGTGCATATAAGAGGGAAAACAAAGAATTTTATTATGATTAAACAGAACCAGGGGGCGCACATATGTATGCTCATATCCACCGTGTGCAAAAACAGTAAAAAGGACTGCCGTTGCTTTTATCACAACATAAACAAATACGTTCAAACGCGATGGTAATGTTTGTGATAACCGACAAAGTGCACCGAACGACTGTTTCGTCCTGTTTGGGACTGTCAGCAGTGCGTACATGGACCGACTTAGTAGCTTGAATCCCAGTGTTGTGATGTACTACTCACATTTGTGTGTAGTATGCAAAATAGTGCGGTCGTGGTTTCCCTTAACAATCACAAACTAGCAAGACCATCGAGGGCAAATCGCTTTATCTCAAAGAATAACTACCGACAGCTCCAGTCATTACCGTAAGCGCTATCAGGAACTGCGATAATATGTTTCACATGAGATTTCTGTTATATATATGCTAAATTAGTGATATCCTAACTGTGATCCGCAATAAACAATTTCCCTCGACCGAATACCGCCTTTGTGGAATTATAACACCAGCGGTACGAATTGCAGTTCAAATCCCACCAAATAAGTAAAAAACATCCTGCTAACGAGTCTCAATAAGTGCGAAGCACGAAACACTTAACTAGTGTTCGTGGTCAGCCATCACACTACTTAATCACACAAGGAACGAACACATGAGATAAAGCAGTTTCTCTCATACCAGTATTGGACTGAATCACGAGTCGTGACAGTAACGATCTCATTCGGAAGGGGGATGATGAGGTTGATCGATGATAATGATGATGATGATGATGATGATGATGATGATGATGATGATGATGAAAGAGAGTTTACAGTGAGTTCCATATTATCGTCCTAAAAAAATAAATAAAACAGATCGTTGCGCTTGAGAGAATATGTTAATATTATTCTCCGAATGTTATCTGACGAACAATTTTACTCGTCAGGATGTGTCTAGGATAAATCTATATTGTTCCTTTTTTGTCTTTCGAAGATGGCACACAAACCTCAATTGATGCGCAACCGCGAACTTTGTGCCTTGGTGCCAGATTACAGAGTATGATCTTCCCGACAAACGGACGTGGCGCAGGAGGACGAGGAACAGAACAAAAAATGTCGATAAGCGTCAATTCGTTCCTATTTCCTTAAATTCGAAATCACAAATCACGCGGTCGAAGATGGGGAACAAACCTGAGAGGTCATGCAAGGAGTGAAAAAAACTGACCGCTAAAAAGTGCGGAGTAAAACCAAACGAAGACAGTGGTTCCTATACTCTGGAGTCTATTTCTTCTCATTTTCGTCATTTGTTCCTTGATCCCTCATTTCTGAATTTCTGAACATCGTTAGGATATACAATAGGATGGTTATAGGAAACTAAACAAGATAACATTGTCTGTTTTGCTCATACAATTTATAATAGGCAACAACGACGGAAAGACTGTTAGCTTATGTTTAGAAGTACATATTTCAGAAGGCACAGATTACACCTCGGTTAATTCAGATTGTTTTTCTTGAGTTCAACACCGGCAAGAACTGCATGCGTTTACACAAGTCCCAGTTTGATCAACCCATTATTCCTCGTTTAAAGCCATGAATGGGGAGTGAAACCCGAAATAACACAGCTGGGACCCACCCGGTCACTAGTACCACTATTCAGACAGATGTGGACGAATGACGAGGAGAATGATATTAAGTTCAACCGG